CCGGCGGCGCCCTCCTCTTCCTCGTCCTCCTCTGCGGCGTCTGCGTTTGGAAGGCGAACAAGTTTGCGAAAAAGGCGCTGAAGACGCGCAAAACGAAGAGCACTGCGCCGACTTCAACGACAGGAGCGGGAGCGGATGGGTCGACCGCTGGCAGCAGCAGCAGCGGAAACAGTAAAGGTGGTGGTAAGGGTGGTGGAGGGAAGCAGCCCTCCGAGAACAAGGTCAAGGCGACGCCCAGTCTGGAGAGCATGGGCACAGCGGTGGGCAAAAAGTCCAGCAAGGTGGGCGGCCTGAGCAAGCTGAAGCAAAGCCGCTCAGCCATCTCCACCGGCAAAAGCAACTCCGCCCCTTCCAGTAAGTCCTCCAGCAAGTCCTCCAGCAAGAAGGGGTCACCGCTGAAGGTGGTTCCCTCGAAGAGTGTTAAAAGTGCCAAAAGTGCTGGTGGTGGAGGTGGCGGTACTTCCCCGGCCGTTTCTCCCACCACCACTACGCCTGCCTCCTCTTCCACTGGTGCCGGTGGAGGCGTTACTTTAAAGGGAGCCTCATCCTCTTCCTCCTCCGTCTCTTCAACGGCTCCTTCCTCGGCAGCCTCTTTTGCGGTTACCGACTCAAAGGTGTCGTCCAAGAGCGGCAAGGTCTAATTGGTGGTGAAAGAAACGCTGGTCAACTTCCGAGCTGAACTCTGGTTGAACTGCAAACCTCATCCACTGCACTACTTCATCACCTTCCATTCTTCCCCTTTGACAGCGCAGCCCCTTCTCTTCACTTTGTGTTCAATTATAACAATCTATTACAATTTTACAAGAATTACCACTGCTGACCACTCATGGGTAATGGGAAAAGCCCCGAAACAAACTGTAGAGATGCTTAATTTGCAACTTGTTATTATCGTTTTATGCAGCAATAAAACACCACAACATAAACTCCAACAATAGTGTGATCAAACGTTGATGCAAGACAACCCCTCTCTTAGTAGTAGTCGTTTTCGTCCTCCTTCGAGCCCGCAGTTCCCGCCGCCTCCGCCCCGCCGTCTCCCGACTTGACACTCTCCTGGTTGCGGTACATGTCCACCACCTGGCTGGCCGTGGTGGCGTCCTCGGGCTTCTTGTCCTCGCGCAGTTTGATGAAGCGAGGGAAGCGCAGTGAGATGCCCTTGGTGTCGTCGAGCAGGCCCACGCCGGCGCGGTGCACCGGTGAGATGGACAGGTCGGCGCACTTCACCTCCCACACCTGCGAGGGCTCAAACCAGACGTCAGGGTTGAGCGAGTCGTCAAAGAGAAAGTAGGACTTGGGCTTCGCCACCAGCGACTCCTTCAGCGAGGCGGACAGCGAGCTGAGGTCCTCGTCGGTGAAGCCGGTGCCAATCTTGCAGATGCTCTGAAACTCCTCGCTCTCCTCGTCGTAGCAGGCGAGGAGGAAGCCCCCGTAGACGCCGGTCCGCTTGCCCTTGCCCAGGTAGGCGCCAATGGGCACCAGGTCGAGCGTGTCGCCGACGCCCTCCAGGTAGTCCTTCTTCAGTTTGAGCCACTTGCGGGAGCGCTTGGCGATCTCATAGGTGGCGTCGTCGTGCAGCGTCTTGATCATCAAACCCTCGCACTTGCTCTTGATCGACTCCTCGAGGAACTCCTGAATGGCGTCCACGTCGCTCAGGTCCTTGCTGGTGGCCAGCATAAACTTGCCCTCCACCTCGTTGAAGCTCTGGCGAAGCAGCTCTCGCCGCTCCGAGAGATCCTTGGTGACCAGCGACTCGCTGTTCAGGTACAGCAGGTCAAAGGCAAAGAGGCAGACGCGAACGGTGATCTCACTTTCGTCGACGTTCTTGCGCTTTCGAGTGCTCAGCACTTGGAAGGGCAGAATCTGCTTGGTGGAGACATCAAAGGCGACCGCTTCACAGTCGAGGATAAAGTTGGTCACATTGGGGCTGACAATCTCGTGAATCAGCTTGACGATGTCAGGGTACTTTTCAGTGTTGTTCTCCTGGTTTCGGCTGTAGATGTAGGTGTCCTTGTCGTCGTTCAGGTGAATCTGCGCCCGCTCACCGTCGTACTTGTACTCGCAGGTGAACTTGGCGCCTTCAAGTCGCTCCAGGACGTCCTGAACTCCCTTGGTCGGGTGCGCCAGCATTGGCTTCAGCGGAATGCCCGGCGTCAAGAAACAAAACTTTGACAGATTTTCCAGGCCATGCTCCATCAGTGTCGGAATGATTTTGTCGTAATTCGGGCATTCACAGTAGGCTGTCTGGAGAAGCAGCGACTTTTTGGCCAGTTTCTCCTTGAATTTGTCAGAGCCGACCAACTTGGCGTTACTCTCATCTTTGAAGATCAAGTAAGCCTGAGTGAGAGCCTGCAGCAGCGACTTTTCTCCCAATCCAATGCGCATCTTTCCAGCCAGGGAACGCATGATGAAACGTGACTCAATGGGCGAAGACGAGGTGATTAGACTTTTGATTTTGTCCACCTTTTTGCTCTGAACTTGGTTGCCGGTCATCATGGCGATGGTTTTGAAGGCGTCAAAAACGGCACTCACAGTCAGCGGCTTTGGTTTGACCAGCAGCTTCTGATTTGATTTGCTTTTCTCCGCATAAAGGCCAATGTCGCCCAGTGAGGCAATGTCCTTCTTCACTTGGGCCAGCGTTTTGCCGGTCGACTCGGCAAGTGCCTTGTGAAGGATGCCCGGGCCGATTCCTGTGATGATGTGAGGTTAGAAAAATTGAATGTAAACAAGAGATAAACAAATGCCTACCTAGCTCGATGTTCTCATAGTCAGGGCACACCTTGTTGAGGCACATGTAGACGGACTTGACCAGATCATCCGGAGAGAGGTGCATCACTGAGCAAAAGTAGTTGCTCATAATTTCAATACTCTTTAGTCGACCGCTGTGTTCCTCGATGGCGGCAAAGGTTTTAGCCAGGGCGAGGAAGGGCACCTTTTCGCCGCTCTTCCACACTGCATCTTTCACCGCATTGTACTTTGATGTCGCCTTGGCCGGGTCGTAGGTGTCCGAGTTGTCGGTTGATGGTTTAAACAGGAACATCTTGCTCAGATTCGGAGTTTGCTTTCGTCGGCTCTTGACGGCAAAGCTGACTGACGCCGAAAGGTGAATTTGCCGATGATGAAATGTGGTTGTTGTTGTTAGCTGACTCACCGCACAAAAGCTGCCGCCGATGTTGCGCGTCAGGTACGAAGTTGAGGGTGACAGATGACCTAGCGTTCGCTTGAGGTGATTCGCGAAAGCTGTTGTCATTCACGGGAATTGTGGGCCTAGCTGACGCCGTGTTTCGAGACCAAACAGCGTGAGGCAACTCGAGAGAGCGCGGGAAAAGTGGGCAACAGAGAATCAGAATTTGTCCAAAACAAAAACTTCGGCGTCGCCGACTCTGCCCGCTCAAGCTGGCTCAGGCGGCTATTTCGTGGAGGCTCAATTTAAATTTTTCGCCGAACTTTGAATTACCGCGAAATCTGTCTTCCCCACGGACAGAAATGAGATAGAATAATTCCTGCACCTGTGCATAATTATTTCTGCCACACATTTGTGTAATAGATTGTGTGTGTGTCTGTAGTTTTAATAAATGCAAAAAAGAGAAGAAAATCATTATTTCAGAGGATTCTATCACGGCTGCACTTAAGATGATTTCATTTTGTCATCACTGTCTTCCTATATAGCGGACTAAACTATTGAGATATTTTTAAATAAAAGAGACATTTTTTACATCTTTGCATCTGCTTAAGAGTAATAAGTTTGATGTTTTAATGTACAGGTCTACATTTACGAGTGAGTGACTTTGAGTTATGTCTGTCAACTTTGCTCACTATTTACCCAACAATTTGCATTGATGCTATTTGCCCTTCAATTAAGAGAACTATGTATTTTTTTGCTTAAAGTGTATATAAGGACGTGGGCTCAAAATAGAGTTATTTTTTGGCAGTAGGTGTAACGCATACACAGATGCACATCTGCTGACAGTGCTACTGCACTTGAAGCTGCTTGTTTGGAAGCTGNTTTTGCTTTCACCATGACAGCGACTTTACACTTTTTGTACACTTTGAATCGAGTTGTTGATCGGTACGAGAACGGCAGCAGTAAGAGTTGTGGCTATTTTTGGTAAAACTGAAAATGTGCACACAAGTGAAAAACGATTAGCGCCGAAATGTACTTTTCAAGCATGCCGATTAATCGTCGGTTTTTTCAGTTTACCTTTTCTTTTTCAGCAATCATTCACTGGACGTGACCGTCAGTCCAGTTGGCATTCCCACTTGGGTGCAAAAAAAAGTAGTCTAAGCGGAAAAGGTGGAAAGGGGCACGACACAAAAGCGGATCAAAATGGTTTT